GACTGCATCTTGTCTTGTCGTTGTGTATATTTTCCAGCTGTATTATTTAGAAGATATAAGAAAAAAAGTCACCCTCAAGTTACACAGCTAAACTGGAAAACATATTCACTATTCTGTTTTTGCAGAACCATTTCACACAGGTTTAGGCTTACATCATTTACTGAGCTAGCATGAAATATACCAGACAAGCAGGTGCAATTAGGATTGATATTCCCACTCAAAGTGTTTCCCAGAGTAGCAGTATTCTCAGATTCTTTCTAATAAAGGTAACTTAGCTCTGCAAACATTTTTGGAGATATGATATTGAAAAGTCCCAATGTTTTGATGGTAATTCAATTAATTTAATTCAGTTCTTGAACATGTGACATGGGAGGAATACTGCAATTAACACTGCACATTTTTCCAATCAGTGGTTGTATGGTTGAGAAATCATCTAAATATTAGTTTTTACAGGTAACATTACCCCTATGACTTCCTTTATAGTTTACCTGCTTGTCTGAGGTCTGGATCTACACTGGTGAGATGTTCATAGAAAGGTGGGTCTCAGCAGATGTTAACAGACTGTCAGTCCTAGGAAGAGCTGCTAAGGGGAAAAGGAAAAAGCTGAGGGCATATTCATGAGTGACTGTGGACCTGTCTGTATATAGCTTCAACAAGAATGAGAACAAGAACTTCAGCACTGACTCCCATTCAGGACATAGAAAGAGTTGAGAGAGAGGAAGCGTGGCAGGCAGCGGGGTGGTGCAAGAATAAATGCCACACACTGCACAATGTCCCTCGTGGCTTTGCCTAGGGCAAGAGAACAGATCAGATTCTGAACTAGGCTGGTGGTAGCAGACAGCCAAGCAGGAGACATTGCCAGCTAGAAACCGCAAGCAGAAAGTTACGGTGTGGGAGCTGAATAGGCAGACATACCAACTTGGGAGTAATAGGAAGTCCCTTTGAAGTTATTGCTTCAAAAGGGGCTGTCAATAGTCAATGTAAATCAGAGCTGCTGCTTGCAACAAGAATTCCTAGAAGAAGCAGGTGTCTAACCAGTGCTGGGCCAGCATTTCTCTCATAGCATCTCTGGGCAGAAAGAAAAGTTAGCCAGAGCCATGAACAGCAGCCTGGTTTGCTCCCGTGGAAGAGACAATGCTATTTCTGGATGGATTAACCTGTTAACTCTTATGCCAGCTTTTTACAAGGTGATACACCAGGTGTAGGTCACCAGGATCAAAGGGCTGTGATTTCATGAGAAGTGCTGAGACAGTATGAAGCCTGGCTGACTGTTCACACACGTGGCAGATATCCCAGCACAGTAACTGGGGCTCTCTGGCTCCCATAGCACACACCCATGGCATTGCACCTCTGGCATCCACCCCTCTGCTCTGCAGCAGTTCCCTTCTGGCCCCTCCCTGTTCTCCACACTCTTGGGTGCAGCCTAGGAGCACTGAACGTGTACTGAGCTTTAGATGACAGCTCGGGTGAGGAGGTGCTTTCATGGTGCTGGGTGGCACAGGTCAGCTGATGTGTCCCTTTGAGGATCCCCACTGTGCCCTCTCCTCTCAGGAGAAGGAAATTACAACTTCCAGGAGGCAGGTGTTATCTTCCCAGTGGGCTTGTGCTCCACATAACAGGTTTGGATTACTGTCTTCTGCGCTCAGAGAGTCTTCTCCCGGATGCCCCTCTTCATCCATATCTTGCACTGAAATTAGAGTGGAGATCTGAGGATATTGACCCTGACATAGGAGAGACGGAAAGCCCGATTTTTTTGCCCATAGTAGAAAACAATCCAAACAACAAAAATGCTTCATGTTTTTCTGGTTTTTCTCTCTTGCATTCAACCACCTGTGGTGATGGCAAATCACCCAGAACCATGGCTGTGCCCTGAAGGGGAGAGGACAGCCAGCCTCTGGCAGGAGGCAGGAAGGAGGGCTGCAGTGATGACAGCTGCCTTGGCAAAGCAGGCACGGCTGTCCTTCAGTGGGCAGGACATTCGAGGACAGCCTGGAGCAGGGCCAGGAGACACCAGCAGCCTCTGTGAGCGTGTCTTGGCTCAAAGCAGGAGGTGACAAGGGTAGGGTGGAGGGCACCTCCTGCCACCTCCTCAGCACCTGCCTCGGGGTCTCTGCAGCCCATCTTCCCCACACCTCCTGCTTCAGGGGCTGCAGGAGGTGCTGCACGGACATCCTGGGGAGCTGTGCAGAGACCCACACGAAATACCATGACTAATGTCCGTCCCACCTATTTTAAAGGCCTGTGTTGGAAAATAGCACCACGACCTTGTCATCTTTATTGGATGAGTTCTGCTTTGCTTGGTTGCTGTTTTGCTGTAGGTTTCCCTCCGTAGCTCTGAGTTGCAAACTAAGAGGGAGACCAAGGTGGTGTGTGAGCTCAGACTGCCAGCAGCCACAGGCCTCCCCTGTGGGACAGGGGACATTGCAGGAAAAAAATGAGTGAATGCCTTCAGTCTGAAATGTGGGAGCAAGCAGCTTTCAGGGATTCTGCACAAAACACCTTGGCAGGGCGTCCTCCACGCTGTGGCTCTCCAGCTTCTTGGAGGAGATCTAATGCACAACAGGATGACACCGGTGGCCTTGGCTCTGCTCGATGCCCTCCACCACCTGCTCCTTCTTGCTCTCAGCAATCAAATGCAGAATTCAGCAGGGAAAATGGATCATGATGAGGAAGCAGGGATCAAATGTGGTGCAGACATTGAGGAGAGACAAACACACTTCCCTTGACCATCTGGTTGCTGCTTGGGCACTAAGTGAGGCATCCTGATGCTCATTGAGGTCAGGAATCAGTACTGGCAGGGACAAACATCAGGAGAGGTGTGAGTGTAGCCCTGATGACTAAAAAATTCTCTGCACCCCACTATGCCAGGCCAGCTACTGCTCATCTAACCCTGCACAGAGAAGCTGTTGCTGCACTGCAACTGTACATGCATGGCTGGGAGGCTTAGCTCTGCCTACTGAGCCTTATGGGGATTACCAGGACATGAGGCAGAAAGTTTAAGCCTCCCTAAGAGGCTGGACTTGCTTTTGTCCTCTGCCCCAGACGCACTGCTGCAGCCACCAGTGAGTTCACAGGCTGCCAAAGAGTGAAGGTGACTGTGGCTGGACCTGGAAACGAAGGGGAGATGCAGGAGGTGCTCCAGAAAACCTCAGATCTTGGTTACTGTCTCTGTTGATGAAAAATTGGTAGATTCGGAAAAAATGTAGTACGGTTTAAAGCCAAAAAGACCTAGCATGGGTATGTTGAGGAGTAAAGAGAGCTGAGGAAGATAAAGGTGACAATGTTTTTCAGGAGGTGTAGAAACACTATTTTATTTGAAGTGTTCTTCTCCAAGTTGGTTTAAATAAAATGCTGGTTCAAAGGCCAAGTTTTATTTTTGTTTCTCTGAGGGGGTGTTGACTTCAGGGCACTTACAACTTATATCTTTTTAATTCTTGTTTCCTTTTGTGGTGGTTTTTTTCCAGTAAACTCGAAAGGGAGACAGAGCATGTGTTCCTACTGAACTCAGATTTCATTTTTAAGGGGTAAGTAGAAAGAACTTGTAAGCAGGCACACTTTAAGGGCCAGGGTGTAAATACAGTCAAAGGTTGAGAACAGACACCACCTTTGGTGGCCCAAAGGGAACCTTCCACATAATAAATTGAAGCTGGAGGGATCCTGGATTCAAACGTCTCTCTTTCAGGTTGCCGCCTAGCAGGGCAAAAGTCAGAGCAACACACCCTGATCCCAACGGGCAAACTGCTCCACTGGGCACTGCTCCTCCCTCTGCCAAGGCAGCTGAGGTGTGGGAAGCACACAAGGCATGCTGATGTGCACTTTCAGAGGAATTTAGGCAAAAGAGCCTCTTACAAGCAAAGCGTTGCTGGTACCAGCAGTGCTAGGTCTATTTTTAATGATTTGGGAATGGAGGATGCTTTCAGCAATACATAATTAATACAAGTGCACTTCTGTTGTCTGCCGAGAGGATAGGAATGCCATGGCTAACTTCTGAGGCTGAAAAAGGAAAAAGAAAAGGTTGAATGAATCATAACTCATTCCATCAGTGGAAATTAGGTAGGAGCTTAATGGAAGTTGCTGAGAATAATTTATTCTGATCAGAACTCTGTGGTTGGGCTCTGTTTCTGAAGCTGGTCATGCTTCATGGTGCAGCGGAAGGAGCCTCCCTGTCACTGATCCTCTGCCCTTGGGAGAATACCTGCTATAACCTTGAGCCTGATGAATCCTTACTCTTAAAAAAAACCCAAGAAGTTGTTCTCTGAAACCATTTCAAATAAAAAGAAGAATCAACCCAACCACTGGTTCCTCCTAACGTGGAGTGGGGGAAATTCCTTGAAAAATTCCCATCGTTCCTTAGAAATAAAATTACCACAAGTCATTACGAGGCAGGCTTCAGCCGTATCCTTCAGAAGGTGAGCAGATCTTGGGAAAGTGATTAAACTTTTTTTTTTTTTTTGCAGTGGAAGATCAGCTCCGAAACGAGGCTTCTTCCTGCAAGTGACTTCCCGAGGTGCTCTTAATGATGTAAAACTTCAAGAGCGCGCAGGGCTGTCCAAGCCCGGTGAGCAAACAGCAGAGTTCTCAGCCTGGAAAGCTGAAAGCCAAAAGGATGAGCGGACGACAGTGCGCTAAAAGGCAGGTTGGCAAACACGGCGGCGGCGGCTTCATTTTTTATCAAGAGAATTAAAAAAAAAAAAGTATGTAAGTACGTATAAGGAAGGTGAGGAAAGGGAAGTGAAACTAAAAGGAGAGTTTATGCATTTTTACTTTAAAAATTTTAAAATTTAGAAAGTGTTGTGTTTCTGGGGGGGGGACAGGGACCTTTCGGGGGGCGGGCGGAGCCGCTCTCACCCGCGGGGCGGCGGCGCTGCCAGGGGCGGCGCCGGCGGCGGCGGAGGCGGGAGCGAGGGAGGGCGGCCGGGAAGGCCGAGCTTGCTCGCGGTTGCCATGGGGAGCGGGAGGGCGGTGCCGCCGCCGCTGCGCAGGGAGCAGCTGCTCCCTGACACATCCCCCCGCTGCCATATTGTGTCCGCCGCCGGCCGCGCGGCTTCATGACCGCGGTGAGTGCCGCCCGCGCCGCCGCCCCCGCGCCCCCACGCCTGCTCGGGCTGCTCCCGCGCCCTTTTCCCGTTTAGCTTTCGGCTTTTCCGTGGGTTTGGGGGGTGAGTTTTTTTTGTTTCCGACGCTCCGTCAGGGTTTCGTGGGGGAAGGGGAAAGCGCGGGGAGCGTGGCGGCGGGTCCTGCTGGTGCCGGGGGAAGGGGGGGCGGCGTGACCGGCGTCCCCTCATTCCCCGCGTCGGGACGAGGCGCGGAGGCGGCGCTTCCTCTCCAGCCGCTCTCGGTGGCGATGCGTGGGAAGGGGGGTCCCCACGCACCCCCTCCCTGCGGGGCCGTGTCCCCGCGGCTCCTCCTCCCGGCTCTCCGCGGGTGACCCCCCCTTCACCCGCTCCGCCGACGGGGCAAGCCCGCGCTTCCAGCTGGGACGACGGAAAACGCGGCCAGCGCGGCGCCGGGACCTGGGAGCGCGGCCCCGACGTGCCCTCGCCTCCGGGTCACCCCTATGAGACTCCGGCGCTTCGTTCGGTGAAATAAAGGCGCTCTCGGCGGTGTTCCGCCGCGCCGCGCTGTCCCGAGCCGGCGGGAAGCCCCCAGGGATGTGCAGAGGGTCTGTGGCTTCCAGAGGTGGGGCCAGTGTGGGAGAGGCGCTCCGGGGTTCCCGCGTTTTGGGGTGAAATCCAGGAAACGGCTGGCGAAGTGCTCGAGGTCAGGCTGGGATCTGCACGTGGCCCTTCGGAGATTTTCCATCTTTTTCGGGATTTTTTGGGTGAAGTTGGGCGATGAGTTGGTGGCGGCAGCGGAGCAGCATCCCACTGCCTTCCTGCCTTACTCCTGCTTGGACACACCGGCGTGCTTGGTGCTCAGGTTCTGTGGGAGCGGAAACTGGCTTTTGTTGGTAAGGGTTTGGATTATGACAAGGCTCAAACAAAGAATAAAAGGAACAAAGAAATAAAATAAACCCTGAAGAGGACCCAATAAACTCATGTTCCCGCCGTGGTGCCTGCCTGTAGATGGATGCTGTATGCTAAACGTGGAGTTAAACATGCTGAATTATGGTGGACTTAAATGCTTTGAAAGCGATTTGATTAGCTTTGTGCCTAATCTATGAAATCAAGATAACTTTATATATAATTTATTATGTATATACGTGCATATATGCATACACTCTCCAGATCTTGTTATTGGTGGGCTTACACTTAGACAAATTTAGTAATAGCTGAGTTGTAATATATTGATATGTGAATCATTTACCTTCAGTTTTGTTTCTTGGATTTGGGTTTTTTCCCTCCCTCCTTAAAGTCTGGTGGGATGCTACATGCAAGAAAAATTCAGCTGGCATTATCTTATGTCAGGAAACTTGAACTAGTTTGAAGGTTTCTGGTTGTTTTTTTTTTTTTTTCTTGGCAGGTGCCAACTCACATTTCCCAAGCTCTGCAGAAGGTAGTTGGACAGAAGTCTGAACTGAAAGCTCTGTGGTAGCAATTAGTGCAGCACAGGGCCTGATCTGATGAACTTAGCCAGGTGCCCGGGTGTGTTATCTCTGAGCTCAGCCGCGCACTGCTGCAGCAGATCAGCTTCTGCTGGGGGCTCACTTGAGTTCAGCTGTGCCACTGAACTTTTGTAGAAGTAGAGAAGAGGTGGTGATTCTCACTTTGTGTGTTTGAGTTGCCTGAAATGCCTATAGGACTGTCCTCTTAGTATTTTTTTTTTTTTTTTTTTTTTTTGTTATCAGATGTGCCCATAAACTGAGCAGTGCTGCTGTACATGGTGTTTACTCTTGCAGACTGTGGTGGAGATGCTGTGTTGGCTGCTCTGCAGGTCCTGAAGGGAGCTGGAGGCACTGGCCCTGTATCAATCCGGGCATGTGGCCCTGAGCATTCTCAGTGACCTTGCTGGAATAAAACTTGGTTGATGTCTTTGTTGGCAGTGTCTAGACCAGAGGATGAAGTTGTGGCCTGCTTTGGGTGCTGCTGTGGCTGGGCTGAAGGACCTCCTCAGAGATTTTCAGTCCAGAATTAAGATATTTTTTGTCTAAAAGGGGCACCAACCAAGCAGTGTACTGCCTCAACAACTCCAGCCCCCACAGAATTTCTGCTTGAGGAGCCTTTCAGTGTCCTCTAGAGAGCTTGGGATTGAAGGCACCAGCATTGTCAGCAACTCTCTGTGTCGGGACGTGCCAGTCCAGTAAGTAATGGAGCAGATAGAGGTGTGTGTGTAGTGGCCCTGCTAAACGAGAAGTACTGCCTGGCAAGTGAGTGGAGTGCCTTGGAAAGAAGATAGAGGCTTAGGGACGTGTCAGGCTGATCTTTGCCGTCTTTATTAACCATAGGCTCTGTTCTACTCAGTGCAATAGACTTGAAAACCTGACATGTTGAGCAAAAGCAAACTCTCCTGGTGAATGAGATAGTTTGGCATCTGAAGATGCTGTACGTGGGTATAATTTGAATTGGTAAGAAAGCCATACAGTTCTCGTGCAGAGCTATTGGTTCTCATAACAGCAGCAGAAGTTTTTATGTTGGTTTCGTTGGGGTTGTAATTCCACCTTTCTGCCCTGGCATCTCTCCTTACCTACTCCTTGTTGGGGTTAAAAGGAGCTGGTATTTATGAGAGGAGGTACCTCAGGCTCTCAAGAAGTCTTTTTACATGTGCAGGTTTGTGATACCTTATCAGAAGGAGCTGCACAGAGGGATTATAGCCAGCGAGGTGGCAGAAAGGGTGGGCGTTGGGAGGAGTGATAGTGTGCCCACAGCCACCGCTGCCACGCATCTCTTCATGATGTTCCATGCTTTGGGATAATCTTACTGCACTACTGTGGTGCAAATCGAGCTGTGTGAAACTCAGCTTTCCTTGCCTGGCTGCAAATGGATGAAAAGCAGCCTCTAGTCCCTGTAAGTAAATGGCTGTCAGCAGTCTGGATGAATGCTCACTACCTTTTAGCAGAGGTGTGACTTGTGGGTTATTCCCTTTGGCTCTTTGAGCGTTTGCAGTTCCTCCCATCCCGGTAAATGAGTGCATTTTGTGCTGGCTCATCTGTAGGATGTCACTGCACTGATGGTAACTTTTCCTGAGGGAGGTAGATGGAGGCATTGGGTGCCTCATCCCAGTGTCTGTGTTGCCCTGCTCCACAGCTGAAATGGTGTTGGGCAACTTCCTGCACCGTGGCTGCTCTGGTGGCTCCAGATGACTCACGGCAGCACCCAGCTCTGCTCTCAACAAGTGCTCACTTGCAAACCCTGTCCACACGGGGAGGCTCACTGTGGCTGCAATGTGGGGTGTCTCTTTCCAGATCCAATGGCTCCCTTGTCTCGCAGGGAGAACACAAGAACCCCCTGAGATGCTGCTTCACTTTTCTCCTGGCTGTATCTTTCTTTGTGTGTGTTTGTTTCCTGTCACGTTACACCTGCTGATTTGGTGATGGCGAGCTCTCCATCTCATCCTCACTGTGCTGGGTGAAAAGCATGCAGTGATGTTCCGTAGTGCTTCCAAAATACAATTTAGGTCAACAAGAAGAGACAGCTCACTGTGCTTGGGTAATAAATTACATGGAATGGAAGAAGTACTGCCTGATGCCAGCCAGCATCTTTGACCCCTGGTACTCTGCTGGCTCCCTGTAAAACATTATGGCTGTGGAAGCAGGAGGGTTGGGTCACTCCAGGCTGGGAGAGTGCTGCTGGATGCTCAGTGCTGGCCTGTGTGGTCAGCAGCTGGGAAACACAGCAGCTGTGTTTGGGGCAGGAATACCCATTTTATTGAGTGGTTGCTCAGGGGGACCAGGACCATTTTAAGAGAAGCCTGGAATTTGTACAGGTAGGAATGCTTATACTGAAAGTCAATGCTGTGGATTTTGACCCCTTTTTTTTTTTTTTTTTTCTTTGCCAAGTGCATTCAAAGTTTTTTCCCATTATGTTCAGACTAGATTTAGCACTCCCTACTTTTTCCTCAAGGGTTTGAGAATGTTAGGGACTCCATTAAATTGACTACTGCAGGCATCATCACTCACCCCTACTCTTCTGCACACTCAGTCTTCGTGTCTTCTCTCAGGTTATTTTCAGGGCATTCCTATCTTGCGGTTTGTTGCTACTTTTAGTTTCCCAGTTGAAGTGTGGTCCCGTGCTTGCTTTCTTTTCAACAGTGTCACTGGCTTTTGTTGTGCTTAGATTTGGGGCAAGGGCATGGTTGCCTAAAAGCCGAGTACTGGATATGAAGAGAGCTCAGCACCTGGAAAAGTTTTATGAAGTAGAGCTGAAGGAGTAGTAGCTGGGAAGATGCCTGGGAAAGTTTCATGAAGTAGAGCTGAAGGAGTGGGAGCTGGAAAGCTTTCTGCTAAGCAGCAGCCACTCATCCCTCATCCTCTGGTCTGTGAGGATCACCCTCACATCAGTTATCAGCCAGTTTGGCTTGGTTTAGGGATGTCGAGTAGTCAAAAGTAGGAGGGTTTTTTGCTTGCTTGCTTGCTTGTTTAAACAGAAAGTCGAATTCCACACCGGTGGAATAAAATTAAAAGCAATGGAGGGCAGCACATTGAAGAGCATTACTTTGCCTTCCTTGGGCTCTGGAGGAGAACTTGCACTTTAGGAGCAGGAGCTGGGAAGCAGCAAGTGGGAACAGCTTTGCAGTCACGAAGTTGTACTGGTAATGTGGTTTTGTGATACAGCTCCAATGGTGCTTTCTAGTTAAATCTTGCAGAGGGGTCACTTGGGGTAAAGCTTCAAGTTGTTGGTTTGCACTGGAAATCAGGTACTTCTAAGGCTGAAGGAGGCAGAAAAGCTGTACGGAAAAGATAGCTTTATATTTACTAGCACTGGAAAATCGGTACTGAGAGCAGCTGAAATGTAGCTATGTTCACTTCTGTTTCAAGAGGTGGTAGAGAAACACACAGAAGGGTTACCCTGGAACGGGAATTAGCATCAGAATTATTTTGCAAGTTACTTGCTCAGATGGCTTAATTGTGAATATATCAGTGGTTTACTTTTTTTTTTTTTTTTTTGCGTTTTAGTCCACT